AATCTTGTTAATGTACAAACTTTACCTCCTATAGCTGAAACAGATCTGGATAAATACTGGATCTACAAGCTGGGGTCACTGCAGTAAAATACAGTATTAGAAAATATTATAACTTACAGAACTAGCAATTACACAGACCTCTCCAGCTCAAACACAAGGAGCTCCCAATAAGCAGGTATGATTATTATAGGATGCCTGTTTCACAGACAGGGTAAAATGAATTTGCATTACAATATTTAGATGAATCACCTTCACAGGAAGCAAAAGCCAAACAAATGACAGACGCTGATAGGTTCTGTCAATCCTCAGCCTGGCCTCACCAAGTCTGTGCTGTGACCGATTAGGAAGCCATAAACCCATAATCTTTCCCCACATGTTTACCTGTTTGGAAAGCTAACATAGTTCGTATCATTCCTGAATAACTTCAAAAGCCTAAAAATACTCCAGTGATTCACACAAGTTTCTCTGAGACAGTAATTTTGTCTCAGCTGCACACACAGAGGTGACATCAGCCACTGTTAGGTAGCACTGCCTGGGCTCCAAGAGACAAGGAGTTTCCAATGACAACAGAACTTGCCACTCACTCCCAATGACTCTTCAGACTGAGAGGCTCTAGAGTGATTTTACCAACATGCACACAAAGAGGCAGTTTGTCAGAGAGCTGCATGACTGTCATAAAAATATGAATCAGGTACTCACCTTCTGGCTGTAGATTGTGCTGTATTTGGCCAGGTATCTATCCTGGCAGCCTGCCCAGCCCAGAAGGATCACCACAGGCTGACCATCTGCATGCCCTCTCTTGGTACTGCTTTCTGAAAGAAACCACAAGATTTCAAATGACTGTCCTCCTGTCAACCAGAATCAGAACTTATGTCAACTTGCTTAATAAAGTTTAAAGGTAATGGTGAACTGGGTATTAGCTTAATTTCTCAGTCAGTTATGCACACTGCCCCATCCCAGTTTCACAAGGACTTGCAGCACAGTTTCAATCCCTGCAGCTTCCCAAAGCTCTCCACTGATGAATAACCAGCAGTGTGCAGACCACTACGGGGGACACAGACACCTCCCAGGAGCTGGGGAGGCATCAGGGACCACTTACAGGGGGGGAAAGTGCCCTGCGCTGCCCTCCACAGCCGATCACACACCTGCTACACGTGTCCCCCCGGCTCCCACCCCTCCCGTAACCTGACAGGTCCCCCAACGTCCGCCCTCAGGAACCCCCGAGGCCTGGTCCACTCGTCCACCCCCGGGAGCCCCCCAGGCCCGACCCCCGCCTCTCCACCCTCTAGGGTCCCCCCGGCCCTCCTGTCACTGGGGTCCCCCTGGTCCCCCCGCCTCCCCTTTCCCCTCGGAGCCCCCCCGGCCCGCTGTCCCCCTCACCGCAGTCGTCCCCCGGCGCCAGCTCCACCACCGCATCCTCCATCCCGCTGGCGCCCGCGTCCACAGACCCCCACCTCCCGCCCCACCGGCGCTTCCGTTGGCCCTCACAGGAAGCCCCGCCCCCAGCCCCGCCCCGCAGCCAATGGGAAGGCGAAGCGCGGACCCCGCCTCGCTCTCCGTCCCGTCCCCTCCCCGCCCCCCATTTCCTTAGCAACGCGCCCTTAGCACCCGGAGGGGAAGCCCCGCCCACTGTGGTGTAAACTCTCCCTCCCATTGGGCAGGAGGGGTAAAAGCGGGTTATGATTGGCTCGGCTGAGGTGTCAGTTATTCGGCGGGTATCCGCCCCCTCAGGGAGGTTGAGGGGAAGTGGGGGGCCGAGGAGGGCGCTGCCGTTAGGGGGTGTAGGGCCTGGAAGGATCGGGATGGCGGGGGACTGGAGGGAGTGGAGGTCGGGACACGGTCAGAGGGGCTGGGGTTTAGGTTGGGAGTGGGGGCTTGAGGGGGTTGCTGGTCCTGAGCTGGGCGTTTGGGTCTGGGGGAGCCCCTGGGGACAGGGAGTGCATGAGGGACTGTAGGGCCTGAGGTGGTTTTGAGGTGTAGTTGGGCTGGCTCAGGCCTGGAGTGGGGAATGTTGAGGCTGCAGTGGATTAGGGCAGGTAGGGGCTGGGATCTACGTAGGGGCCAGTGCAGGGCCTGGCTGGGGTTGAGGGGAGTGCAGGGGTTAGGTTTGGGGTGGTAGCTGGGGTTAACAGTGGTGCTGGGAGGCAGGATGTGTTGTGAGGGAGGGGCCAGTGGGACTGTGGGTGGGTAGGGGTTGGGTGGAAGGCATTGGAGTGTACTGAGGAAGGTGCATTGTGTATGAGGAGGGTTGTGGGGGACTTGAGGTGTGGCAGGAGGGGGTGAAACCTGCTGGGGAAACACAAGCGCTAAGCTTTGCTTGAGGCTGGGCACAGTCTTAGTGTTGCAAGATGCAAAGGTAGTGCCAAATCACCGTCACTGTGTCCTTCCATGAGTTCAAGGCTGTCAGTCCTTGGCACCTCACACTCAGGCTGAAGCTGATGCAATACCACTCTGTCTTTTGATCTCAATCTGATGATTTAGCAGCACTCTGGATGTAAAGAACTGCTGAATTGCTAGAGACAGTTGCTAAATCACTTGTCCTTTTCTTGGCAGCAATAAAGCTCTGCCCTGACCCAGCCTTGTTTTGATTATTAGGTCCAGTGGACTGGGGTGGCAGCCCAGCACTGTTGAGAGCAGAGTCTGAAGCCAGTTACGTGCTGAGACTAGCAGTGACAAACGACTCAGGCAAGTCACTTAACTTCCCATATGTATCCATCTGTATGTTCCCATATGTAAAATAGTCATCATAAAAATATTCATGTACATTTTCAGGGTACTTGTAATGACTACTCTGTCAGCAGCTGCTGTTATTATAGCAACCAGGGACTGATACCACTGTATCCTCAGAAGCCTCACGTTATTGTTTCCAACTTTTTTTTTTTTTTGCCATTGATTCATAGGCAAGCCCTACATATCCCTAAAATCCTCACGTCTAGAGGCTGGTGCTGGTATTTCTGAATAGTGGAGGGCTTACTCCAGCTTTATAATAAAAATAGGATAGCATTACACCACCAGCATCTTCAACATAAATATGGAAACGTTAATTTAGAATCAATTTTGGGATGTTTCAGACTGTAAAGTTCTTTTAACTAGATCTCTGTTGAGGACAGAGGAGCACTTTATGGGACTGTAAATTTCATGCAAACAGCGCTGTGAAATACAGGTTCCCCCTACACACTAGCTGTTCTCTCAATATCAATCATATGCCTTGCAAGTAATGTTTCACAAATATTCTGTAAATCACAGGAAAATGCTCGCAGTAATGTGAAATATGACTTTCACTTGACTGTTTTACCAGAGGCCCCTAACAGGCCATTCTCCTGTCAGCACTAACATTTGTTATGGCTAATAACATTTTCAATCACAACTATTTGGGGAAAATGGATTTATTTTAAACCTGCTTACCTGCAAAGGAGATCCTGAAAATGCCCTGCCAAGGACACAGGCTCCTTACAGAGCACAGACCGTTAATTCCCAAATGAGATTTCATCTTGTCTAAGTTCTCAAACATTGTTTCTTAGACAGCTTTTTGAAGACATTGTTTGTTTGTTTTCAGGTACTGTTTTCAGGTACTGAGGTTCATGTTCATCTCTTGGTCATTGCTTTCAGTCTGCTCAAGGTAATAGGAATAGAAAGTTACTTTTGAGCAGCTTGGGGATATTCTGGAACTGATCTGGAATTTTGCTCCATATTCTAGGGAAAAAAAGCTTAAGAACTTTGTGGATAGGAAATTGGTAATCTTGGTAACTTATATTGCATTGAAAGAAACTTCTTATTCTGAAACCTGAAGATTTTGTGTCATTGTAACTTTTTTTTCCTCCTAAACCACACTTTACATAGAACCTAAAATGGTGCTTTTCTTACGTAGGAAGTTCCAGACCGGTATTACATAGTGCATGAATTCCTTTCTCATCCTCAAGCATGTTGCTATGCCTTGATGGAGGACAACATACCTGTGTTAATGTAGATGTCTGTGACCTCATCCCTCTTTCTGCACCTGTTGCTGCACAGACACTGGTGTTTAACTGCAATGCTCCTTGAGGTTGGTCAGTCTCTTGAGGCCAAACACATACACATCAGTGGAATTCTCATCTACCTGAATGGAAAACTTAATCCTCTAATGTTTCATTCCTCTACAAAGTGTACCTTCACAATTGTCAAGTTGGACTAGGGGATATACCATAGTGAGTGAAAAGTGTGCAAAAGAATTTGGGCAAATTATGGATTGCTTTATTTAACACCTGTATGAAGGGATGGAAGGAAGTGCAGGCAAGGGATGTTTCTGGACTTTCTGTCAACTTGTCTATAGTTCTTACAATTTTAGGTTTTCTTAGATTGTTTAAAACCATGCCATAGCAATTAGCTAAGTAAAAAACAGAGCAAATATCTGCTGTGCCAAAGGGTCCCAAAGTGCTCTCCCACTGACAAGAACAAGCACGTCTTCCTGGAGTGGATGTGGACCCAGTCCAAATGACTGTCACTGCGTCACACAAATGAGGGCACGCTGCGCTGCTGTGCTAACAGGCATTTACAGCCCCTTGACCCTGTCACTCCCCATAAATCCATACCTATTTGTGATCTCATTTCACCCTAGTTATTCTGTGGCAGGTCAGATATGGGATGCAGTTTTCATATCATGAGGCTAGTGAGAAACCAAGGCTGGGGTAATGGGTAACATCAAAATGACTTTATTAACAGAGCAGAGAAGAGAACTCCTGTGGTGAAGCCACCTGCCCTGGAAAATAATCTCAAGTCTGTTGCAAATTCATTGTGCAGCTTCAGACACAGCAGAACTATCCTTTCGCCTCAGGTTTTCTATCTATGAAATTAGTATAAAGGATAATGAGACTAAATTAATGGTTAGTAAGTGCTTTAAACCTAAATGATTCTATGTTATTTGCCAGAGATTTTAAATCTGATCTTGGTAGAAACTCCTTAGTACCGACTTCTTCTATCTTCTAAGCCCTTTTTTAACTTCTTTCTGACTTTTCTCTAGGCAGAAGAGATCATGACTTCTGTCAAAGAGCAGGAAGCCACCAGGAGGCTCATGGTTTTCTTACAGGAATGGGATAGTGCCCACAAAGTTGCATGAAGCCACATACTGGACAACTTCATTAAAAGCAATGACAGCAAGACAGAACCAGAACTGTAGCTGGAGTTATCCCAGTGAGCCAGCTTGTTTCTGGCTCGCCTAGCAGCATGGCTCAAGATGACGTATCTGCTTCCTTGGAGGTGGCAGTGGGATGGAGAGAAGGGGAAAGTTCTCCACCAAAAAATTGTTTAAAGAGTAAGCTTCTGTATGGAGATATCCATATCCAGCTGTGTTCTGCAGGGTTAAATATCTCTGTCTATCTAAAGATGGAACTAAAGGGAGAGCCACATAACCTGTCTCTCAGGGACCTAGAATTAGTGTTTTTTCTCATATTGGGATGAGGGGAAGGTCCATGCACTGTCACATGAGAGAGTAGGCAATTCAGACCTCCACACCACCAAAGGAGGCCTGTGGGACACCACAGTGGTCTGCAGATCTCTCCTTAACCCTGCCAAACAGCTACACGTACAGCACATGCCTCAGCAAACTGCTCAGGTCCATTGGCATCTTTTTATCTGCTGCAAGCGGGTGAGTATGGCATGTCACTGTATCAGAGGTGCATGGGGAAGGCACACAAGGGTGAGCAGATAAAGCAACAAGTCGCTGGACATGTTTTGTGAGAGCTGTGTAAGAATTTCAGGCAAGGCAAGCCTCAGTGAGGCTTCTGGTAGGAATTTTGAATGCTTTCCAAGCCAAATCCGCTGCTTATGCACATCCCCAGAGCCATCGGGTCAGTGACACAATGTGGAATGAGTGTGGTGAGAGTCCGAGTGCAGAGATGGAGCCTTCTCTACCTGTGGTTCTGAAATGAGCACAGGGCAAAACAGGAGTTGGTGACCTGCTGGCAGCAAAGCATCCTGTTAGCAGGCATCTGCCTCTGCGTTTCAGGCTAAGCCTCCTGGTGTTCCCTGCCTGGGCACCCGCGCTCCAAGGCAGGAGGTGATGGTTCCTGGGAGCATGATGTGGTGACAGAGGAAGTAGGCGATGCTTTTGGCTTTGTTCCCCCTAGCCTTGCAGACACAGATACCTTATAGAATTCCTGGAGATTGGAGGTGTCTTGATTCTCCTGGAAATACTAGGGCTGAACTACCACAAAGAAGAGGACAAGAGGGAGTCTGTAAAGCCGCTGCAGCTCATTGAAGATGCTGGCAGGAAGTATGAGCTCATCTGTGAAAGCTACGGTATGCAGTGTGTCCATATGTGCTTGTTCCTAGTTCAGACAAGGATGTTATCCCTTGACCTCTAGCCTCTGGGGCTGCTGGAGGTACAGAGCTATTCCTTTTTCTTCCCCTGCTGACGGCAGATGCCCCAGTGTTCTGCTAGAAGGAGTTCAGAGTTTTGGCTGTTGTTGAGCAGTTGCATTTCATCCCCTCTCTCAGTTTGTACAGAGCTTGCTTTCTTTACACTCATTTCTTTTGATGCAATATTGCTATCCTCCTGGTTGCATCTGCTTCAGTTAAAACCCACAAAACAGTTTCCCTTCTTACCTACAGCATTCACCTACTGCAAACTTTCCTCTTGGGGTGGGAGGATTTTGCAGTTTGTACCTTGGCCGACTGAACATGAGCCAGCTTGTGCCCAGGCAGCCAAGAAGGCCAACGGCATCCTGGCCTGTTATCAGCAATAGTGTGGTAAGCAGGACTAAGGAAGTGATCATCCCCCTGGTAAGTGATCATGAGCACTGGTGAGGTTGCACCTCAAACACTGTGTTCAGCTCTGGGCCCTTCACTACAAGAGAGATATTGAGCTGCTGGAGCAGGACCAGAGAAGGGCAACAAAGCTGGTGAAAGGTCTGGAGCATGTCTGACAAGGAACGGCTGAGAGAACAGGGGTTGTTTAGTTTAGAGAAGAGAAGGTTCAGGAGGGACCTTATCTCTTCTCTACAGCTACCTGAAAGGAGGATGGAGGGAGGAGGTGGCTGGTCTCTTCTCCCAAGTAACAAGTGATAGGACAAGAGGTAACAGTCTCAAGCTGCACCAGGGGAGGCTTAGACTGGATATTAGGAACAATTTCTCCATCAAAAGGGTGGTCAGGCATTGGAACAGGCTGTCCAGGGCAGTGGTGGGGTCACCATCTCTGGAATTGTTCACAAACCATGTAGATGCCCTTATTGACATGGTTTAGTGGTGGACATGGCAGTCCTAGGGTGGAGGTTGGGCTTGATGATCTTAAAGGTCTTTTCCAACCCAGTTGATCCTATGATTTTGAAAGAACATGACAACAGGTTTCTTCCTGTTTTGTTTCTTTTTTTCCTGGGCAGCATAAGCCAAACCCTGTTAGCCATTCTGTAGCTCAGATTCCATTGTCAGAAGCCATGAAGTGATACCTGCCATCAGAGAAAGACAGAGCGGCAGGATCATCAGAGCGATCCTTAGCAGTGCCAGACTCTGCTCATGTAAATGCCTGTGGAAGCGCCTTGGCCACATACTCCACTTAGAATTTTGCCAACTGGTTTTCCAAACAAAGAACCTTTTTCTTGGCTTTTCTTCTTCAAGCCATATTTTGAGTGGGATGTGGTGCTGGGCTCCCTCTGAGGTGACAGTGGAACAGCTGAGGTGGGTGATCTAGGCTCATGCAGGCACGTGAGTTGGTGTCTCTCTTTGCACAGGAGTTGAATCCCTTGCCAAGTTCTTGGCCACTTCCAACTCAGCAGAGGCTCAAGGAAACACGCAGATTCTGCTGGGCTCTTTGGGTCACAGCAATCCAAAGTACCAGAACCAAGTCTACAAAGGCCTCATTGCTGTGCTGCCGTGTGCCTCCCCCCAAGCCCAGCAGCTGGCTCTGCAGACACTGCGGGTCATGCAGGTAGGTCATGGCTAAGGGCAGCGTTAGCTTCCCTATCTGTCCTTCCTGCCCTGGCAGGAGCTGGGACAACCTCCTTGGCATCAGGGCTGAAGGAGGACAGCCTGGAGTATGGTGTGAAGACTGTCCCTGTCACTCTCCCCTTTCCCCCGCAGGATGTGGTGGGAGAGGTGCCCACAGCCGTGGTGGAGCTGGTGCTGGGTGTGCTGCGCTCCACACACCTGCAGGTCCAGCACGAAGGTAGGACCTGTCTAGCCACCCTGGGCAGGGGCTAAGGGCGCTTGGGGGAGGCTGTGGGTGTGCATTAAGGGCGGCTTGGGCAGGGGATGGGATGCCTCGGCCCGTGTGGCGGCGGGACGAGACGGGCGGATCATCCCGCACGGGGCTGAGGCCTCCCTCGGTGACTCGGGTGCCTCATTAGCATGCGGCTCCTTAGCACTGCTTTCATTTGCATACCCAAGGTGCACTGCGGACCGAGGTCCCGGCCCCGTTAAAGTTGTCCGTTCCCGCGGGGCCGCCGCTGTCCGGGTGCGGGGCATTGCCCGTGTACGCCGTAGGGGAGACGACGAGCCACAGCGGCGGGGACCGTGCGGGAGTGGCGGGGTCGCCGTGTCCGGTGGAGTGACAACCGGGGGAGGCTGCGTGTGCGCGGGGAAGTGAGAGCATACTCTGGTTTCTCTTCAGACCGTATAAATCTTTCGCCTTTTACTAAAGATTTCCGTGGAGAGGAACAAGCACGAGTGTCGAAGAATTTTTTGAGGCTCCATTTCGGTGGAGCTGACCCTATTCTGGTTAAAAACAGAACTCGTTCTAGTATTGTTAGAGAAAGAGGAGAAGATGGGTGGGAGTTGCGATAGTGCAATAACCGCGGAGTAGATAAACGAGCCGCTTTGGGCTGAGATAGCGAGGGTCAGCCTGGCTCCGGGAAAACGGTGGGGCTGGGCCCGGCCCGGCTGCCCGCAGCGCTCAACCCGCTGCTCAGGCATCTGCGCCGCTTCTTCCCCGGCCGCCGGCGGCCGCTTCATCACCCGACCCTGCGCAGGGCACCCTAGGTCTGCCCAGAAGACGAGCGAACGGTCCCTTCCCTCGGACCCGGCGGTGCAGAGAGGCCGCTGCCTCCGGCAGGTCATGCTCCGAGAGAAGCGCCCCGCAGGTCAACGCCGTCCCGCATCGCCGCTGGGCTCCGCAGCTCCGCCTCTCCCGGTGCCGGCTGTTCGCCTCTGCGCGGCGCTGTCCGCGGGGACGACGCGACCCAACCCGGGCAGTGCCAAGTCCCTCCCCGCTTCCGCTCAGGCTCCCGCCTGCCCCTCTCCATCGCCCCGGTCCGGTCCAGCCCACCCGGTCCCCGCAAGGCCCCGCCCAGCGCTGCTGCGATGCAGGGAGTAGGGTCCTCATTAGCATGTTCTTCATTAGCATGGACTCATTAGCATACCCAGGGTGCAGTGCGGGAGACGGCCGTGCCGCCCCGCTGCTGCCGCCGCCCTGAGCCGGCGTGGCCGTCGGGCTTGGGCCGAGCTGGGGGTGTCAATAGCCGCGGCAAGCCAGTGCTGGTTGGGTGGGAGGTGTAGCTCGGAACTGGGGTCGCCGTGTCCTACGGGGCAGCAGCTGGGGGTGGGAAGGTTGCAGGGGGAGCAGTGGCGCATACTCTGGTTTCTCTTCAGATCGTATAAATCTTTCGCCTTTTACTAAAGATTTCCGTGGAGAGGAACAAGCACGAGTGTCGAAGAATTTTTTGAGGCTTCACTTCGGTGAAGCTGACCCTATTCTGGTTAAAAATAGACTAATAACAAAGAGTGTTGGCCAGGTGCTTAGCTGTGGTTGTGTGGTGGTGATGGGATACGACTGGGGAAACATTAGACTCGTCTGGGTTTGGGGGGGGGAGAAGCTAGGGTCTTGCTGTGGGACAGGGACCGGCCGCGGGGCTGTCCGTGCCTCATCCCGCCCGCCCGCCGCTTCATTATCATGCTCCTCATCAGCACTCCGTTAATTTGCATACCCAGAGCACACCGCGGCAGTGCGGTGGTGCCTGGCCCTGCCGGTGTCCGCTGCTGCGGCCGGTGCCGTCGGCCCGTCAGGGCTGTTTGGGCCTGCACGGCTCGAGTGGCCGCGGTGGGGCTCGGTCGCGGGGCACCGCGGGGCCGGGAACGGGCGGTGGGGTGTCGCCCTGAGCTATGGGTGGCGGGGCAGGCGGGCGGTGGTGGCGGGGAGAAAGGAGGATCATACTCTGGTTTCTCTTCAGACCGTATAAATCTTTCGCCTTTTACTAAAGATTTCCGTGGAGAGGAACAAGTACGAGTGTCGAGAAATTTTTTGAGGCTCCACTTCGGTGGAGCTGACCCTATCCTGGTTAAAGACAGATCAAATTCTTTACTAACGGGTACATCACCATACTTAGCGACCATCTGATGCCGGGGTGGGAGTTTCCTGCTTTACTGATCCCTGCCTTTGCTTTCTCCTCTAGCCATCCAGCTGCAGAAGGTCCTCATGGCCCACCAGGTCCGCCCAGCGCTGCTGGAGGGCCTCGTGGCGTTTCTGACACCATGCTGCAGGAAAGAGCTCACCTTCTGCAGCGAGACCGCCAAAAGTACACAGCTGGCTGCAGCCTGCCAGGGCGCCCAGCGCGGCGCTTCCCCAGGGTCCCTCAACTCCTCCTGCAGGGCTCAGCCATCACCCTGACTTGTAGGGGGAGAGGCTCTTAGAGCTGCGGGCATCATGCGGGCATCAGGGTGTTACATATGATATTGTATCCATAGGGTGTCCCTAAGGTGCGTTTCCTGAAAAACTACATGCTCCTTTCGTGTTAGCCGTGTAACTGCACCTCCCCTCCCTTCAAACATCTTAAAAGTGTTTCAAATGTTCAACCTTCCTAATGTTCCTCATGCAGACCCAGCCGTACCTGGCCTGAAAGAACCCAAGCTGGTGTATAGTCAGCAGGCAGCTGCTGCAAAAATCGTTGGGTAAAAAACTCGGGAGTAGAAACTACAGGGGCACTGAAAAGACCTTAGAGAAGAGGCTCCCTTTGGGTAGAAAAGGACATCAGTCACCCAGTGGAAGAATGTAGTACCTATGACTGACTACAAACTAATGAAAATCAGACAATTCAGTATGGTTTTCTCGCAGTGTCCACAAGATAGTGCTATCGGAACACTTTTCCTGCAAAAGCAGATGACAGAAAACTCTTGGTGGGTAGGAAGACCTATGGGACTGACTTGCAGGGATGTGCTCATGGATGTAATGTTGGTGGCATTTGTTCGTTATGGTTACACAAGAAACTTGCTGGGCTTTAATACACATCTGGAAGCTCCTGCCAATCATTAAGCAATAATATCTCTGCAAGTCCACGTGTTAAATGATCACTGTGCCATACACAGTCAAACATTTCTTGTTTATTTTGACTCTGCTCTCTGTTGGTGTCACTGGGGTGACACACCATTTGCCATTGAGGTCACACCAAGAGGCCCAGCCTCAATTTGTTGCGTGCTTGTTCCCACACACAAAGTGAGGGCTGATGGTCTATCTCATTGCAGTGTCTTAGCGAAGGAGTCATCAGAAGTGGCTGAGGAGCTGATCCAGATGAAGGTGGTACACGGCCTGATGGTTGCTGTGGGGAACCTGGACTGTGTGGGCAGCCAGAGATACGCCAGCATCTCCCTGGAGGTGAGCATGGTGGAACATCATAGCATGGGGTCTGCTCCCACAGCACCTGAAGAGGAAGGCTCCTTGCACTGTTTTGGGGTTTCTCATTGGTTAGTTGGGGTTTTTGCCTAAGCAGAGCAGGAAGGCTTATTCACAAAGGCGGGAGTGACACTTTCTTCAGGGAAGAGCTGTATTTCCACTCCTGCTGCTCACTGCACACAGGATACTGGGAAGCCAAATCTGGCCCTCACACCTCTGTTCTAGCCCCAAGCTTGCTGTGGGTCACAAGCGCACAGAGCTAAGGGGGCTAACCAAGACAATTTGCTGGAAAAAGGCTATTTTTCCCTGCTGATGCTGGCCTGCCTCAGCACAGCTCTGCCTGTGTAACAGTGGCAGGGAAGGACTTTATGGTCAGTAGCTGGGAAAGGCTGAATAAGCAATGGCTGAAACCAGGCTGCTCAGCTTCCTGGTGCAAGCAGGCACAAACAGCGCAGCAGGATGAACTTCCTAGCAACTACCACACTTAAACACGGTGTAATACTTTCAAACATCCTCCCTCTGTCAATGAAGGTGGGAGCTGGCACTGGGGAACAAGGTGAGGCTTGAGTAGGGAGCCACAAGTTTCTCTTGCTGTGTTTACAAAGTGCCACTTGTAGTAGCACCAGCAGTAAAGGAGGTGGTGAGGGACTCACTGGCATGGGACACAGGTTAGCTGAAGCCACGTCATCGCTACAGCTCTACCCTCTGTACTCACACTCACATCCCTTCTCCCCTCACATCAACTCTCAGTTCTGTTGCAGTATTTTGTCCACCCCTTTCCCTTCAGGAGGAGTGCATGAAGGATGCATTAGGGGACACGTTGTTCCAGTACTTCATGGTAAACATGTCTCCCTTATGGGGTTTAGTAGTGGCCCTAGGACCTTGGTCTGTTTTGCAGGGATGTAGGGTCTGGATTTCACAGGGAAAAAGCCTGTTAGTAGATGGGACTTTTCACAAGAACTAGTCTTGCATGAGAGCCCAGAACTAAGACCCCCTTTGAGAAGCATTCACTTTCAATCTCAGTGTTCAGAAGATAATTGTTCTTCAAGACAGAGCAAGGAGGGATCTCAGATCTTCTGTGAAGTAACTTGAACTCCTCCAAGTCAGGTCACTCCTGACTGGCTATAGAGATTAGTAACCAATGTTGGGACCAGTGAGGGAAGGTGGAACAAACCAAGGGCAACATTTGCTCCTTGCACCCAGGCCCATCCTTACTCATCCTAAAACAGCACTGGGAAAGGCTAGATAATCCAAGCAAGTAATAACACCTGAAGTGGAACAAGACTGCCTTGCTTTAGTCACAGTTAAAGCCCTGGTACTCTGGCTATGCCACTTTAATAGGATGCAGGCAGCACCTAGGTACAAGTCTGTTTTGACAGCTCAGAGGGCTCAACCCTAAACATTTGATCACAAAAGTGCCCCAGCTGTAGGGGATCCTGTCTGGGTTAAAGTATCCCTTCTCTAACTGCTTGTCACCACTGCTTGCCCACATCCCATTACCATCCTAAATCTTCTGCCGCCTTTTCCAGGACAGTCCTGAGACCTGTTACACAAAAATGGATCCACTCCAGGCAGAGGTACTGGCCTCCATTGTGATAGGTATCTCTTAGAGCCATGGCAAGGATACAGTCCACAGAAGGTGTGTGCAGAGCTGCTGGGGGCATAGTCACTTAAATTATACCCTTTACTTTCAGGGGGAAAAGGTAGCTTAAGGAGCAGATGAGGGTGGGGGATGTAGGAAAAGAGAGAGTAATAGTAGAAGGAGCCAACATGTTTGCAGCATGTTAGCCATAGGAAATTATGTGAAGTAAGATCCTGGGGGGCTATCCTTCAAATCCTAAGTAAACTCCAGGGGTACAAGGGAGTATCACAGGACCTTTCCTACTTACCCGGTGTTGTAAGAGCTGAGCCACTTACTACATGTTGAGCTTTACTCAGCTGCAGGATAGGTACCCTCTAAACCAGCTTCTCCCTTGCTCAGCAAGTTCTAGCCAGCAAGATCTCAAAATTGCAAGACAAGATTTATTTTCAGTGATTTTTAAACATTACAAGTGTAAAGACTTAAAATAGAATGTCTGACAAATCAGCCTCTCTACACCACCTGTGAGTCTTCAGGGACTGTTAGACTGCACCAGAATCAACAAGAAATATTTTATAATTTAGAAGATAATTAAATCCAGGAACATTTATTTATCAAACTTATTAAAATACCAGTGTTGTATAATTACATACAAGTCAATTTTCTTTCTAGAAAAGCCAGACTTGCAATGTTTCAAGCACATCTGGAAAGGTTATGTACACTAGAAAACTATACACGTATATCTAGTTCTATCAAAACAGACCATTGTCACTAGCAAAGGACCAGAAGAGAGACATCTAGCAGGCTCTCAGCCCCCCTCCCCAGGCCTTGCAGGGGTGTTTCTAGCACTCTACTAAGCACCCTGATACCAGACCATGAAGAAGGAGATGCTGCTGTGTTCTCCACCCTCAGGCACACGTAACCTGCAAACACTCTACCACATTGAAAACAGGAATGACACAAACCAAACAAACATGCAAGACAGAGAACTGCTTGTGAACCACATTTTGCTGTATTTACTAAGGCCTCTTTCGCCTCATCTGCTTGCTGGCTTGCTCCTCCAGTTGCATGGCAGCCCCCAGGGCATCCAGAGTTTCTGTAAAGGAAGATAGGAGTGACAAGGTGACTGACCTGGAAGCTGAGCTCCCTGGGCCAGCTGTCCCTCTCAGCAGGGCTCTGCCAGGGCCACAGAGATAAGTGGACTGGGCAATAACTGCTCAGCCAACTTTAAATCCTGCCTGGTCCCACAAAACTCTTCAGTTGTACTTGTTCATTTCTCCTCATCAGTAGTTGCAAGCCTGCAGTTTGCAGTTCAAACTAGATGCCACTAACCCAACCATCGCAGAGGGCCAGATTTCCTCAGCCTATAAGGCTGAGAGGGCAGCAGGGCATTTACTCCTCCTATGTTGTCACCACTCTAGATAGTGAATGGAAAGATACAGCTATGGGGCTGCATTTGAGATGGGAGGACAGTCAGGGCTGCTTACAAAACAAGTCATTGTTTCAGACTGACAGTTCACTTTGATGCCACAATTTTTAGCCTCATTTTAAAAACTACAACCCTCATAGGCCTGTTTTTGAGGCACAGACTATGCCAGCTGCAATGGCTGGAATGGCAAAGTACAAGTTACTGCGATAGTGGCAGAAAGGTAGCAATTACCAGCATAGCTTCCCCTGTCCCAGCCAGGCAGTCTAAGTACCCACCCCTGTTGCCACATGTCAACCAAGCCCATGCGTCTGCCTTACTGCCTCCCTTCCACCCCTGCTCCAATGAAGGTGAGCAGGACAAAGGAAGCAGGCAATTGACATCCTCCTGTGCTGAACTGGCAAGTCCCCAAACTGGGTCAATACTTAACAGTGGAGGGATTTTGTGGCACATTTATTAATGCCCTATAGTAAGGCAAATGCATGCCAAACTGAGGTGCTGGCAGATGTGGCATCTCAGTGTATGCCTGGCAGATTGATGTAAGTGGATGGTTATCAAGGCCTGATATCCATGAGAACAGGAATGGAAAGAGAGGGTACACCCCTATGAATCCCTAGAATATGGTACTAAGACCTATTTCTCAAAGTCTGGGTTTTGGCCAAGGCAAAAGGTAAACTATATAACCAACCTAGGCAAACAGACTTCAGCTCATCTGCTTTTTGTGGATATAGTGTTCTGCTCAAGGGAAGGCAGTGTTACATGGCAGTAAAAAGCAAGTGGAAATTTCTAGCCAAAATTTTACTTTGGAAAGTGCAGACAACAGGATATTTCAGATCTGTCTCTATGATCAGCAAGGAAAGTGATCAGAATCATAAGGTAAGCAGAAGGACTGGGTGCTCAAACCCCAACAGGTGTGCTGGTGGAGCGACAGTGCTAATCAGAGACAGGCATTAACATACCTCCAACACTCAGGAGGTTTCTTGAGCTCTCCTCTACAAAGTACTTAGCTGTGCTCACAAAGGTCTCAAGATCATAGTCTGGCTGCTCCGTGATTCCCAAGAGGTAGTCAAGTTCAGTTTCCAGTCTCTGTTATTTACAAGGATAACAGTAAGAAATTGACTTTCTGGAAATTCGTTTCCTCAAACCTGGCACATCAATCAACAGAGCCAAGCTTCTGCAGAGCAGTACCAGTCAGTGCTCACTAGCAGGCAAGTAGAGGTTTCTAGTTGGAGGGGAAGGGGGACTGGATGGTCACAAGCACTGAAATGCCCCAGTTTAACCAGCTGGGCAGGAAAACACAGGAAAAAGTGAGGAAAAAGCAACACAATAGTACAGCATCTTGCATTACAGCTTGCAGCCTCCCCAGCAGCACTTGGCTCAGACAAGCAAGCTGCAATCAACATGCAGAAGGCAGCCTAACCAGGCTTGCCTCTTCCACATACCTGTTTCAGTTCTTTAAGCTGCTCTACTACCTTCTCCTCACGTTCACTAATTTGAGTCATAGCCTCACGAAAGCTGAACATGTGGGGAGAGAGCTCTTCCTCCTCATCCTTGCAGAGCTGCAAGAAACGGTCCAAGTAAGAACAGCAAGTTGTTCGCAGCTTAAAGATCTGTCCAACCCACTGCACACACATACATTGTATTGAGGACTTAAGCCTTCCATTTCCTCACTTTCAGTCTCCATCTGATTCTGTGTTTCACCACCTCCATTATGAGCGCTTAGCTCTTTCACCCTGCAACAAAAAGATTTGTCACTCAAACTGTTCTTCCAGCAGTTTCTGGTCTACAGCATCACAGAGCAGCTACCACAATCAATCAGTGTTCAGCAAGAACCTGTCAGCTGCACTTAAGTTCCACATTACCCCACCTAGAACAACTCACATGGGCAGAAATCTCAGAGGGCTGTGGGAAGGAAAGCTGAGATGTTTATCTCCAGGAGCTGTCCTGGAGAGAAACATCCAAATACACAATGCTAATTGCAGCAAAGCCTTTCACAGAAGCTGTTTTCCACATATCAGCTTGGTTTAGCATGACCAGCTAAGAGAAGTTAGTATAGAAGGAAAAGGTTAAGGTTGATTTTTGCCCAGATACCCATTGTTCCAGAATAGATATAGAAGGATGAAAGTCATGGCTGATAACTTGGTACACAAGCTGGACATTTCATTCCAGTTACTAGTGTCAAATACATATTTCCAGTCAGTTTCAGCCTAATACCCCCTTTTCTTGGGGCTTGAACTTGCCCTGTACACTGGCAAAGAACCCACTGGGCCAGCTCAAGGCTAGAATCTCACTGAAGCATGCCAAGTCAGGTGTTGTCCTGTACTTATAGTTGAGCAGGAATAACTGTCCGCAAAAAGGAAAAAAAATGCAACTTCACTCCAGAGCCAGATCTGGAAATCTGTCAAGATTCAGTGTTCCAAATGCATATGACAAGCATTACCAAACACCCTTTCAGAGAGTGGTTCCTTTCTGGAAAGGATTCCAGCAACATTTTGTGAACTAAATGAAGGCAAGTTACCAAGCCCAAGATGTCATATATTAACAAAATGATACCTGCATAACAGTCAAGTCTTATCTTTGCTTGTCACCTCACTGCAGGGGTGTAGAGGTATGTAAAGCAGAAACCAGGAGGCACCCACTGCTCTGACACAGGTGGTCCAGCTACCAGCAAGACACCCAGGGAAACCTGGGGCTTGGTCCCTGCCAATCTACCTTACCCTGCAGGTAGCCAAGGTCAGCTGTGGGGCACTCCAAACACACTTCCACCATCTGCTTAGAGGCATTTGAGTTCTCAGGTCCATCAGATTTCACCCAAAGTCTCCAAGGTACCATACCTTATGAGCTCATACTAAAGCCCATCAAGAACAAAGTGTTTTGTGCCACCTGTAGGGCACTATAAGGGACACAGCACACACTGAGAGATGGGACCTAAAGTAATCCAGAAAGTAAAGGGCATGGAGGTAATCAGGACAGGGTAAACTCTCTACAAAAACCAGGGCAGTCAAGTCCAGTATAACAGACTCCTCCTCTGAGGAAAGGAAATATTAGTCATGGTCTTATACAATCTCTGTTATGTCTCACAGAGAGAACACCCAGGTCAGTTTCATAAGACAGCTCTAAGATAACTTGCTCCTAACAGCAAAGCTCCAAATCACCATTACAAACAATTTAAGAGAACTCGAGTTTCCAAAGATCAAATTAAAAACAACCAAAGCACTTTCTGTGACAAGAATAAAATCCCCAAATCATAAGGGCCATTACCTGTCAGCATATCTCAGTGTGTTCAAGGTGTATTCACATGAACTCATGCCTGGAGAAATCATTGCTATCTGCAAACAGAACAGAAGACCTCAGTGACTCTCACATCTGATTTCCACTCATGTTAATGGTCATACAGATCTCACCAGGCATCTGGGACACATTAGGGCAGAGTTGAGCCATTCTCTCAAGTGCATTTTAATTTATAGTTCTGTGGGACATGCCAGTAGCCCTGCATCCAGCTTTGCACTGGCTTTGTGTATACCCACAGTGCTGCACCCCCACAGGAAGCAGAGCCCTTTGAGAGCATGCCAGGCTCTACTTGTACATTCACTGTATGAAAGTGACTTCTGCAGCCCTGCTTCTACCAGGGCTAGGCATAGCTCACCACTGTATCTCAGTCACCACAAGCGAGTGGAGGAGGAAACTGTATGACTTTTTTGCCAGGGAAGTGAAGCCTTCTGCCTTTAAAGTCCCCTTATTCTAGAGGGGCACACAGTTATCCATCCAGTAAAACTGTAGAACCCATAAGCAGTGTGTGTCCCATGCACGTACTCACCATACAGGTCCTTGAGTTTGTTCCTATGAAAGAGTCTCTCAGCACCTGGGTCAGCTTGCTCTCCCGGAAAGGGGTGTGAGATTTGTTCTGCCCTAAAGCTCTGATACATTCCTAGTAAAAAGACAAGTCTTGTGAATGCAATATCTGCGTCTCTTCTCAACCAGCTCTGCACACTATCTGCCACAAATTGCTGTTAAATCCAGCAGGCTGGAGAATGGTCATCTTTATTGCTCTAAATGCTTCATAGTCTTTAAATATACTCCAGGTCTTTGACTTTGACAGCTGGTATATCCATCATATGTAAAAAAGATTGCTTTAATGAAGCTTGAAATGGCTGTAACAGTGTCTGGCCTGACAAGGTTGCGCTGCTTTCCTGGAAGCACTCTGAATGGAATTATACAC